GCCTTTTCTCCCAAGCAATTCAGGAACCAGATCATAAAAAGAACAAAGAATTATTCTCATCCATTAAGAATCTTTAGCTCCCTTTCAGTGCTTTTCTCTACAGTGTGTAGTTTTATTACAAGAACTACTTTTCAAAATTTTGCTGACACCTATCCATTGTGTCAAGACATCATGCTTGATAACAAAATATTGTTTTACTGTGATATATTATAAGATGTATAATATTGCAATACATTTTGGGGAGAAACCCCTGCAGTTGGTGTGGCAAAAGTTAGTACATTCCAACAACTCTATGACTCTCTGCCTAATTTTTTATTTTGACTGATAAAGTTACTTGGATGAGTAACTGTTCTGACCCAAGCCTCGTTCAAAGCAAACAAACACCAAACTGAGATAAAAGCAAAACCTTTTTAATGCTTCTCTGTGAATTCCGTTCATTCACAGTAAAAGACTGTCAAAAACTAATTGCCCCAGATAAGAACAAACCTTGCCAAGGTTGTGCCAGGCTGCCAAGAACACTAGATTAAATTGCAAGGAAATAATCAAAAAGTCTCCAAACACAAATCAGGATAGTCCGAACTTCCAAAAGATTTGAAGTGCAAGAACTTCTTTGCTTCCTGCAAAGAATCCCACCTCTGAGGGCTGGCTTTCATCCCTTAAGGGAGGGGCCATCACCTTGCAGCCTTACTCCCAAGTCGCCCATGCTGCTGCAGCTGCTCTTTCCTTCGAGCAGCCCTGCATGCTCGCACAGTGGGCACAGGCTCTTCGAGGTCCTCTGCATCACTGCTGCCAGCTTCCACAAGCTCCGAAGGCAGAACTCCACTCTCTGATAGTCCTGGCCCCGTTCCTGCATCACACGCAGGCCCCTCATCTGAGTCATCACTCTCTAAGACCTCAGCCGTCCGCACCTGCTGCTGGCGAACCACAACAGTAATGAAACATCTCAGATTAATGAACTTCGATCTATTTGCCATGATTTAACCTTTTTAGATACTTTTGGACTGGAAGATTGAATCTTCATTTACATGTTGCCAAAATTTCATAGTGAACTGAGGGAAAACATGTTGAAATTAAATTCACACAAAGATATTGTGATAAATTAAGAGATAAGGCTCTGGTGTCCAAGATTCAATCTATTTTGAATGGGATTGTACGTTCTATTGAACAGAAATTTCACACACTGGGAGTCTGCCTAGGTCACAGATGTCAAACTCGCCATGTCACGTTGCTATCACATGACATATCACAATGTTTTTTCTTCATGGAGCTGGGGTGGGCATGGCCTGTGTATGACACATCCAGCCCATGGGCTGCCAATTTGACATGCCTGACCAAGATCCTTGGCTGTCACTGGATTTTAAGATAGTATATATGATTAAGGGTGAATTTGCATAATTACTTCTCATGTGACATGAAATGAGTCAGATTTTATATATTTATCTACAACCTTTCTAGATTACCACAACATATTATGCATAGACTATCCTTGAAAACTGTTTAGAAGCTGCAATTGGTACAAGAGCAGTGGTCTGGATGTTAATCAGTGTAAGCTTTCATAGTCATATTGTTCTGAAAAATCTATGTTTGCCACTTGCCTATGAGGCAAAATTTAAAATGTTTGTAATTCCCTTTAAAACCCTGAATTGTTTAAGATTATTAAAAGGATCACATTTCTGCTATTTAACTGAGTGGCTACTGAAATGTCCAGGAAAGGCTCTTTAGAAATTAAATTTCTGTCAAAAAGAGTAGTATCTGGCCTCTAATGTTTAAGTGTTTAGAAAATCTGTAAAGATGCAACTTTTGTCATATTTTAAATTCATAAAGTAATTTAGGCACTATGTTATTGTTCATTTTAAATAGTTTTTTAACTTGTATTATTTTAAAAATATTGTTAGATATGTTTAATACTCCCCAGAATAGCAAACTGAATAAAATAAAAATAATAAAATAAAATAAAAATATATTAAAATATATTACTACTTCTGGGCTAAGCAAAATATCATTTATATTAACAATAAATGACAATATCTTTTTGTGTTGCATAGCACTAGAACTGTTAAAAGCCTGGGAGCTTAGATTAAAATAAACAAAATGAAATGTCTTCACAGATAATAAAACTGCAGAAAATCTTTATATGAATTAAAATGAAAATTAATCTAGCATGTGGTCTAAATTTTCATACAAAATTACAGGTCTAATTAAAAGTAGTCTAAGTATAGATCTGGTTTCTTCCTAGAATTAGTTGCAGTGAAATCAGAGAAAATGCACACTCTGAAGGTATATTTTAAGCACAGTGCCTATTTAGGACAGTCTGCTACATTCCGCATATTGACATTTTCCTTCTGTAATAATGAGATACAAATGACTCTCACTTTTATATTTCCCAGATATAATCAACATAAAAAAAGCTCTAGTTCCCAAACACGTACTTCATCCATTTTCATGGGAATGAAGCAAAAACCAAGAATGTTGGTATCTGCAAAATTAGAAATATAAGAGATCAAGAGAGCACCAGATGTAAAGAGAAAAATATTCTCATTTATTATTCCCCTAATAATTCTTTCTCAGTTAATGCATACACAGAGAGACTTTAATTAGACAAAAGCCTTAACTGCTTGAAGACAGGCAACTATAATATATTCCTGCAGTCTTCTTTTCTTCTGGCTAAACATACCCAATATCACCCACTGTTGCCTGGTATTTCCAACAGTAACTGGAGGTCCTTCCAAGTCCCTTCCTGTCTTAATTGCTCTTCTCTGGACAAGGTTCAATTTTTCAATTGTCTTTTCTAAAATGTGGTGGGCCCAAACTAAATGCAATATTTTAGATTTGAGAAAAGAAAATAATGTTCTTTATAGTAGCTATAAATTAAATACACACACCAGAAAATTCTCAAATTGTTATTCTTTCCAATTGGTACAAGGAGATAAAAATTAGAAATGTGAAGGCTCTTCTTTCTTTCAGTATACTCTTTCTATGAAATGTATACCACAAACGCATGAATAAAACAAGTAAATGGATTTGCTTGTATTCTCCTGTAGCTCTGTGGCTGTTTGCTCAACCCCTGTGCAATCTCTTTGCATTACAAATATATTTAGACAACTGATGGACCGATCCAGAAAGTCAATAGCCTAAGTACAAAGAAGATTTTAGCTATAAAAATATCTTACGATTTTAATGCCACTTTATTTGATTGTTAAAGCACACAATTGTTCTTTTCTTGTCTATGATATACCTGAGTCTTCCTTTTCCAATGTCCAAAAACTATTCCATACTAGGCTCAAGTTCAAATTATAAGTACGGAAGAAGCATATTGTAAAGAAACATCATTACGCAGATATTTGGCTGCAAAAAGAACCTCAAATATAAAATTTTGAACATGACTGGAGTTTTCTACATAAAAAGCAGTTAAGACTATCCTTTACATCAAAGTACAATATTACTGGCAAACCATTCAAATAATTGTTAATAGAAATTTAAACCATCATGTGTTAAGAAACATGTAAGAGCTTAAAATTGATTTAAAAAAAATAAAAAAATTGTATAGGTAGATTGTTTTCATAACAATACCTTTAATTATGTTTTTCTACACTTTTGTGGATTATGATTAAAATGCTGAACTATTTAATTGTTTGTGTATGGTTGAAAAAAAAGTAGATTTAACAACATGATAAATAATTCCAAATTTAAATTACATATACACTGATTCAATTTAGGTAACTGGGTTGTGAAAATTTGTGGGTGAAGCCATTCAAAAAAAGAACAAAAAGTGTGCATGATAAATACAGATCATTTGGCTGGAAGGGATCTTTAGGGCAGTAATCCTCGTATCATCTCAGACAAATGGCTGATCAACCTCTTCTTAAAAATCTCCATGATGGAAAATCCATGGCCCCAGGAGCTAGATGTTCCACTGCTTAATAGCAATTATGTCAGGAAATTCCTCCTTATTTCAGATGGGAGTCACCCTCTGTCAACCTTCTACCTATTCTTGTTCTACCCTAGGTAGCTAAGATAGATCTATTTACTAAAGTAAATGCTGCACTAATAGGGCTTATGGAGTTCAGACATTACTTAACAAGTTACACATGGACTCAGAATCCATTTCATATTTTTGATGATGTTTTTCTTTGATTGTGACTTGGCTGAAAAACTCTTTGGATTAGTCTGAGCTGAAGCTGGCAGCACTGTCAAATTCTCTCTGCTGTAGCAGATGGCACAGAAACTTGGTCAAGAGGTGGGAAACGATTTGAAATGTGAAAGCTACACGGGCTGCACTCCACAAGCACAAGGACATCATAATCTACAGTAGATAGATAGATAAATTTATTGTCATTGTACTCAGAAACCTGAGAACAACGAAATAAGGTGCTCTTCCACAACATACAACTGAACAACACCAAAAGACATATACAAATAACAATGTAAAACAAATTAAAACAAATAACAGTTAAAAACTGTACAACCAGGATATATATATATGTTAAAACCACCAGATTCATAACTCTGCATTTAACCTGATCATAGCACTTGGGTAAAAGCTATGTTTAAATCTACTTCTCCTGGCTTTCAGCACTCTATATCGTCTTCCTGATGGTAGGATCTCAAACAACGAGTGGCCTGGATGCGAAGGGTCTCTCAAGATCTTTTGTATCTTCCTTCTACATCCCATGTTATACAAATCCTCCAATGAGGGAAGAGGACATCCGCTGATCTTTTGTGCCCTTTTTATCACTCTTTGGAGTGCCCTTTTCTCCGCCTCTGTACAACTCCTAAACCACACACAGAGGCGGTCATCATCTTTCAAGAATACACAATTCTCTTCACATAACTGTCCAGCTGCAACTTAGGTTTTGTTGCCATTATTTTTAATGCTCCCCAACCTACAGCCACTGATCCCAATATTTACATATTTGAAAATGAATTGCCATGAATAACTTTCCCAAACTTCTGTAGCAATTTGACATTCTTGACTTTTGTGTAGAAAAAGGAGGCTTTACCTGTCTGCATCCACTGTCACATCATGAATTCCTCTTTGAATGACATCTCGAGAGGCAGCTATGTCAGGAATTCGATTCAAACTTCTTGTGTATAGATTGAGCCCTCCATCAGTCATGTAACTAAAAATAATACATATAAAAATGAATTAGTAGGAAAGGCTACCACTTATAGACATGTTTGTTATGCTATACAGCACAATTATTATTGATATGTATTACAGGTAATATTTTTGTTGCTTGCAGTTTATACTCTAAGGCGGGGTCTCCAAACTTAGCAACTTTAAGACTTGTGGACTTCAACTCCCAGAATTCTCCAGCCAGCTGGCTGGAGAATTCTGGAAGTTGAAGTCCACAAGTCTTAAAGTTGCCAAGTTTGGAGACCTCTGCTCTAAGGATATGTTATCTTGATCAGAGTGAACCTTGTTAAATCAAATGATAAAATAATATCTGTATAATTAATATATCTTATTGATTTAAATATGCTAATCACAGTTACTTTCCCTGTGTCATATCTTAACAGCAATATGCATGTTATTTCAGTTTGTCTGTCTGTCTGTCTGTCTGTCTGTCTGTCTGAATCAGAATAAAGCTGGAAGTGACCTTGGAGATCTTCTAGCCAAACCTCCTGCTCATACAGGAGGCCCTAATACCATTTTAGATAGTTGGTTGTCCAGTCTTTTCTTAAAACCCTCCAGTGATGAAACACCTACAATTTCTGATGGCAAGCTGTTCTACTGGTTAATTGTCCTCACGGTTAGAAAGTTTCTCCTCAATTCCAAGTTGTTTCTCTTCTTGAGTAGTTTCCATTCATTGTTTTTTGTTTTGCCTTCTAGTACTTTGGAAAATCAGTTGACCCACTCTTCCTTGTGGCAGCTTCTCATACTGGAATACTGTTATCATTTCCTCCTAGTCCTTCTTTTCTCTAGACTAGCCATATTCAACTCCTGCAACCATTCTTCATATTTTTTTTTATCTCCAGTACCTTAATCATCTTAGTTGCTCTGCTTGAATTGTGGTGACCAAAATTGGATGCCACATTCCAGGTGTGGTCTTACTAAGGATTTATAAAGCGGTACAAATAATTCACATAATTTTGATTCTATGCCTTTGTTTATACAACCAAGGGGTTTATTAGCTTTTATGGCTGCTGCCACACACTGCTGGGTCGTGTTTAAGGGATCGTCCACTAGGATTTCAGGGTCTCTCTTACAGTCACTGTTTTTGAACCAGGTTTCACCTAATCTATACTTGTACATTTGGATTTTCCTACTTAGGTGTAAAACCTTGCTTTTCTTCACATTAAATTTCATGTTGTGGGATAAGGCCCATTGTTGAAGTCTGTCCAAATCTTTTTGAATCCTAAGCTTGTTTTTTGGGGTGTTGACCATTCCTGCCAGTTTAGTGTCATCTGCAAATTGTATGAGTTCCCCTTCTATTCATTCCCCCCCCATGTGTGCTTGTGTGTGTGTGTGTGTGTGTGTGTGTGTGTGTGTGTGTGTGTTTGTATGTGTGTTATTTATCATGTGTATGCATGCAGAAATTCCCATGTTTGGCATCTTGGATTGCCAATAGTATCTCTGCCAAATACCTGGGAAAGCTGCCTCTGACAAAGTAAAAAATTACCAGCTAAAAGAATAAATATTTTTTACTATAAGCTACATTGCTTCCCTCTTCTTTATTTTCCAGCTACCCCACAAAAGGAGAAATATTTATGATTTTATACTGCATTGTCTTCCTGAATAAAATGGCCTTATTCACAAAACTGATATGTTTCAGAGGATCCATGGCAGGGGTGGGATTCTACCGGTTCGTACCTATTTGCTAGAACTAGTAGTTAACTTTCTAAGCAGTTCGGACAATTGGTTGTTAGAATAAATTTTCTCTTGTTTTTTCCTACTTTACAGGCCTAACCCTGTAAGGAAAACATTCTTTACATTCTGGTGTTGTTGCTTACAGAAACTGCCTCTCCAATAACCCTTATTACATTCTTGGCAGGACTCCTTTCTCCGGAGCTTCTCTGGAGGTTTTTTTCCCCTCCTTTGTTGGTACTTTGCTTATGTCCAGCCCAAAATTGACATATGTGTAGCCATTTCACTTGGAAACTTGACATCTTGACTTTCTTAAAGGGAAAGGGCTCTTTTAAGCTTTTTACACTGCTGTTGGAAGGAAATACTCTCCTGCTGAAGTTAGCACTTTGAAGAAATAATTGAAAAACAAAGCAGAGCTGCCGGAAAGAAGCTTTTAATAACAAGGAACCAAGATGAGCCAAGGCTTCTTGGCTAGTTAGAAAGACTGACATTCAAACATGAGTTTACATAGCCTTTCTGAGTTTTGGTCTAAAACTGGTTTTTGGTGAAGTTTAATTCCGTGCTTGGTGATGTTTAATCCTGTGTTTATTGATGGGATAATTTTCCCTATTCAGCTTTGTTTGGAAGGAAAGGGGTTAATCTCTGTTCCTGAAAAGAAACTGGCTTGAGAAATCTGGCTAGTTCCTCTTTCTATTTGTTCTGATAATTGATTTAACAAGCAACAGCTACTGTTGTGATTTAATTATTTCTATTGTGTTTGAATTTTTTTCTACCTCATGGCTTCTTTTTCTATCTGGGAGCAGGTCTTCCTTCACTGCTTTAGTGGTATCTGGCACTGTCCTTTTGGGGTGTACTTCCAAGAGGCATGATGCAAGCTTGGCACTGATTTTTTTACTGCCTTTCTGGGGGGCATGTGACCTTTCCTTAAATCTGGGTGATTTCCTTAGGATAGCTTGTGAGGTGAGTGAGACCAGCTGGTAACCTAAGTGGTGTAAATGGATCTAAGGATTGCTTTTCCTGGGTGTGCTCTTTCTGGGGAGCTTAAATGACCTCTCTGCTAAAGGGTTTCTTTAAAGGGCTGCTGATAGTTATCATTGCATTTTAGCTATTTTAATTCCTCAAGGTGCTCTGGCACCCTGCCTGATTTGTAACTCTGGCTTGCAGGTATTTTTAATCTAATGATTGGTATTTACGTCAGCTTTTTGCAAGCAAAGAAGCATTTTGTATTTTTGTACAGGTAATCCTTGACTTACAACAGTTCATTTAGTCACCATTCAAAATTACAATGGCACTGAAAAAAATGACTTATGACTGTTTTCCACACTTATGACTGTTGCAGTATCCCCACGGTCACAAGAGTCCAGATGAGGAGAAGCGCCTCTCGATGTGAGTGATGTTGAGTTGCCCATGCCCAGCCAGTCACATGACCACCAAGCCAAATCTACCCAGTCACATGACTACCAAGCCACGCCCACCAACTAAGTCATGTCTACAGAACTTATTGTTAAAAAACCTGAATCCCACCCTTGATCCATGGACATGTTATCATACATCCTGCAAGGGTAGGAGAGGATAGAATTATGGCTCCAGTATGTATCTCTTTCTACCTACTGTGGTCAGGACATATAATACAGTATATTCCTAGTGAATTCCCCATAGCTTGATATTATCTGTATAGTCACAATGGCACAATGTGTAGGATTAGCTAAGACTCTAATCGGATGCCAATATAACCTTCTTACATTGTAACCACAGAGAAAATAGTCATGGTTTTTTAGCCCATGTCTTATTTACTTTTCAATCTTTTTAGCTTCTGTTTCATCTGTGATCAGTTCAAAATCTAGACATTACTGAAAAGCAAACTGGAAATAAACCAGGACATTAGATATAAACCATGTGTATTTCACGTACCATACATTTGCAATCAGTAAACAAAGAATAAATGGCAGTTTCAAACATTGGTTTACCAGCCTAAGGTAAGCTACTGTTCATTCACTTTGTTACACTAGATCAATAAAAAGCTCAATTTTGCTTAGTGCATTTCTTAGACATTTCAGAGGAACTCTTATGTGCTAGGAACATATTTTGAAGCAACTGTACACCTAATACAAATTCTAGGAAGAATCTGCAGTTTCTGGGATACCAGACTGTTTTGTAAGATGCAATATATTTGGCATTTGGTGAGGTTGGGTAAATCTATTGGAGCTTACATTTTAATAGAATTAAAAATTAGAAAAAGAAGGTGAAAATTATATTTAAGAGTTCAGGGTACTTTAGTCTCAGGTGAGTAAAAATTTTAGTTGAGAGGCTACATATAGGAAACAGAGTACTCTCTCATATTAATTCTTAATTATTCCTGGATGATTGTCCTCAAGGTTTAAAGTAATTAAAGTGGGAATGAAAGAGATAAGGTTTGGCATGCTTGGGTGAAGCATGTATTTTAGTGCTTATTAGCCTTTTTTCTTATTTAATATAAAATGGAAACAGTACTTTAAAAATATTCTAGCTAAGAACACTACCATTTTGATCATTTTCATTCAAGAAAGGCAACCTAATTTATTTTCTCTTTTGATAAACCAGTTAATACTTTTTTACATTTTTAGTCAAGAATTACTAGCAGTAAAATATTCAACAAAAATCAGCAATCAACCTTCTTATTCAAGCTGTCACTTTTTTTTTTAACATTTTCAATATATTTTTGCTTTTAATGCCAAAAAATATACTGACTTCAGGCTAGTGAGATCAGTGATTTTCCTCCCTTTTTAGCCTGAACCTTAGGAATACAGGGATAATACCAGACAGTATCTACTACTCCACTTTGTGATACATGTCCTGATAAATGGTGGAATATAAATCTAAAATTAAATATTTGTCTAGATTTCAACAAACCAATAAACTTAATAAACTCCTTCTTTTCTCAAACTTCTACAGTATTCTTAAAATAAGGTATGGCTTATTTTCAGGCTTACCTTTGAGAACAAGGTTTACTTAAATTAATTACTAGAGGCTGTGATTGTACAAGGGCTGAACATTTTTGGGAACATTACCCTTAGTAGTGCAGTGAAGGCATCCACATACATAAGCCACACTTTGCAAACAGTCAAATTGTTGCATTTTTTACAAATATTTGTGCAATAAAAGTTAACACCCACCAGGAATTCAAAGCACATCTAGATGAAAATTCATACAAAAATTTTCACATCTGAGTACATGTATTTGTATCTCCTCCTGTGTCAACACTCAACATCTTCAGAAGCCAGTGCATGCCCAGTGATGTGGAACTTCCCTGTACTTGCCTCCACTACCTATTTAACCCTTTCATAAATGTTGACCATACTAAATGCCAAAACAGAGCTTGGAATCAATGAACAATTACAAATATAACTCAGTTCTCAGCTGGTCTACTTAGAAATAAAATTTGCATAACTCAGTTGGATCTAAGTAGAGTTTACAATGTTTAGATTTCAGCTTTGAATCAACCCTGACTATATAGGGCATTTTTAATGTGAAATTCTTGGGATTGCTCAAAACCCTTTCTGCTAAATCCTGGAGATTCCTAGACTTGTTCAAAGATTTCTGAAGACTTCAAGCAATTCTCTGGAAGCTGATTGCCCCTATCTGAACTATTACATAGTTTGGGTATGGGGGTACAATTACATAGTTTGGGTATGGGTACAAAAAGTACATGGTACCTGCTTAGAATTCCAAGATAAGGAAGGACATTACAGCAATATGAGATGGCAAAATTATATTCCAAGAAGTTAATAATCTATGAATTTACAGGAATCTCACTATTGAAAGCCTTTAAAAAATCATAAATGTTGATGTTTAGTCCATGACCAATTTAATTAATTTTATTATGGTTATTTAATCTCCTGGTCATGTGCAAATTAAAGGCTCACTGATCTGTTTTGCTATATCCATTTTGCTCTCCCTATCCTGATTTATAGAAATATTTGAGCCTTCGTACATAGTGGTCATGAAAAAAATACTAAACCAGCAACCAGTATTTTTATCCTATTAACATAAATGTTCTCTTTTATTTCTCTTTCAGACTAATGGTCCTCCCTATCCACAATGTGGACAGAATATAGAGAGGACCATTGGTTGAAAGAGCGGTAAAAGAGGCCATTTATGTTAACATTGAGCATTATATAAAGGCTGACTTATATTCTTCTCTGTCAACAGAGAGGAATATAAGACAGCATCTATCTCTTGTCTACAACAAAGTCCTTTCAGCAGTACCAAGAAAATTCTACTGCCATTTGCACTTTGATATAGATGACCCTCAGGGCACAGATAAACACCCATGTGGCATCAAGAGATCTCAGGGAGAATGCTAATGACCAGAGAAATATGATCTTTCAAAATAATCCCCCGCCATTCTATCAGAACCAATCCTTTGATCCCTCCCATCATTCTGCATGAATTGATGATGCTTCTTTATTTTCCTCAAGGAAAATAAAGCAGTCCAGTTGGCTTTTGAAGAACCACTTTTTATTCAACTATGACCTGGATGACATAATCTCCATAGAAACTTACTTTCATGTTTCTCCTATCACACCCGACTCTCACTCTCATATAAAAAATAGGTAGAAGCATGCTCTTATAGTAAGAGCAATATTTATCCCTCTTAATGAAACTTATATTACCAATTTGCTATAGATATTCACACCTCTTAGAATCTTTTTTCCATATTTGGTAAACAGTTTATCAAATATCACAAATTTACCTCCTTGCTCTAATTTTAGCTTCCAGTGAGTCACTCCAATTTCTCAGTCGAAACAACTGTCCTGATTTTGGATATCTTAATTTTTAAAATAATATTCCTCATATATCAAATTAACATTCAGCACAAATCATTTGTGTTTTGCAGGTCTTTATAAAAAAGTACCTGTACATATATTTTACCCAAACAACACATCTCTAACATTATCACATAATATGAATGTAATGCTTAATAATATATTAAGAAAATAAGAAGACATCTCTCTGATGTTGCATATTATGTCCAGTTGAATTAGACAAATCAAAATAGGTTCAGAAAAAGCAATCATAAAAGTATTGGAAATTGGTATCTAAATTATATAAAGATAGATTGAGGGTAGTATACAAGTTTAGCTTTGATAATAACAAGTCATAGGAGGGAATATGACAGAATCTTCAAATCTCTGAAAAACACTGTGGAGAAAGTGAACAAAAACAGACATGGAATCATCGATTTCATAACCAGAAAGGCAGATTATGGATGAATATTAGGAGACATTTTCTAAGAGTAAACAATTTAACAAGGAGGCTCATTTCCTTTCTGTTAGGTGTATTTCATATTCTTTATTAGACAAGTTTCTTGTGTTCTCTTCAGGATATTTATCATTCCAATTTTATGTATAATCTAAGTGATAAGCAATGTTAGAAAATATAAGCTATAAAACTTCAAGCCATTATCATTTAAGATTATAAATTCATTATAATAAAAGTCCTCAAAAAAGGCGTTTCTAAAAACTAACAAAGAGTGAGCCATGCATATTCATCTGCATCAGAAAAATTAAACATGAAAATCATGTTGTATATTTGTCTCCATAAAAGAGTCTAACAAGAAAAAAAGAGACTAGAGATAGCTATAATTTAATTAACTAATTTAATTCAGTTTGGAATTCAAATGAGACTTTAAACAGTAAAATATGTGATTAGTTAATTTATTTTCACTAATAACTTTCATTGTAAATTATTATAGTTCTAATTCAGTCAGGAACAAATCAATATATTTTTCAGATGCTTGCCTTATTCCTTTCTGTTTATGAACAGATTTGTGAATTATTATTTTTTTTAAAATCACAATTCTTTCTAATCTCATTTTTACAAAAAAAAAAGAAAAGAAAAACTTACCCACTGTTGATGTCATCAGCTCGAAGGCTCTTCCCAAGAATGTCCCCATCACTCATGTACCCTCCAACATCAACATCAGAGGAAATGTCCAGGTCACTATTTCCTTTTTCACCCATGTCAATTTGGGGGATGTTGCCAAGACGAGAGATGGCTGCACGACGAAGAGGTGTGGTGTACATGAATCGAGAAGGGTCAGTATGGATGAAGCGACTAGCACCACTGCGAGGGTACCCTCCACCCAGGGAAGGAGCATCACCTGCCTGGAGTCGAGGACTAGCTTGTCCAAGCCTCCAGGTCACTGGAGAAGATCGGCTTGGTAAACCAGGAATGCTTCGTCCATTTACTTCAGTTGTCACAGTACTGTCAAATGTTGTTTCCAGTGTGCTGTCAAGCAAAACAAAAACTGTTGAACCATGGTTTCCATATTTCTTTGCATATAGGATGAAAGGTAGACAAAGGAAAGTTTTACTTTTAAATAAACATGACTTAGGAAAAAATAGCACCTGTTTTTAAAGATGTCACTCTAAGGCTGACATTTTTCTGCAACAAGCCAATTTCCATTCTCAGATTTTCCATATTTTTAGCGATGGTGGGCTTTGAGATAAAACCATGTTAATATATAAGATTTAAATAAAATAAAATGAACCTTGTAATGGAAAAAAAAACCTGTTAAATGTTCACCAAATGACATGCAGTGACACGATGCTGGTAGAAAAGATAAAGTACTGTAAAATAAAATGAAGTTTTTCAAAATCAGGATCTTCTTTATAATATGTAATGAATCACTCATACATAGCTAAAATCAATATGTTATGTTTTCATTTCAATATGACAATGAGATTAAGTTAGAAATGTTTCCCATTCATTTCAGAAAATACATTCTAAATAAAGATAAGCTCAAGATTCTTAAAAGAATTTGGCAACTACAGTGTCACTCAGCTGTATCATTATCATTAAGAAATACTATTCCTTTGACTGACCTGCTTTCTCCATCCTTAAATAGTCTCAAGATTAAATTCAATTAAAACTGTTTACTTTAATCCAAGTGGCAAGATTCAAATTACAAAGTAACACAAAATGTCCTATCATTCAGAATAGCTTCATCCATACAGCACAATTATTATAGATTGGCATTGTTTAAATATGAGCCATACAAGTTTTTATTCAGATTTTAAAGACAATTTATATTTTGTTTTCTGCAATACTGTAGTTTTCACTTTTTGATAGATATTTATTTCTTTAGCCATATGATATATTTTAAATTGCTTAGAGATCAATTTACTTCTTGAGGCTTGGTGTACTACTATCTTCTGTTTTCTGAAAATTTTGTGGCCAGAGCCTCAAAATGAAGAGGACAAAAAGAAGAAACAAAATATTTACCAAAAGGTTAAGAACATTAACTGATCGGACTTAGAAACTTTAAAGATTCTGATTAGACAATACACAATATACTGTTTTTGCTTTATTGTTCCATGTATTCAACTGCACTAGTAAACAGTACCTGTGGCTTATTTGAGTTCCTCTAAGACTGGACATAGTTTCTTCCAAGTTCTGTCTCAGATCAGCTATATTCTTTACAGTTCTCATTCTTCTTGTTTCAGGATCTTCCCCTGCAACCAACCAACCAATCAATGAATATGAAATTACATAAAGCAAACCATACACAGTGTGTGTAAGACAATATGAACTAGAACATTTCAAGGTTACAATCAAAACCATGATGAAAATGAGTAAAAATGAGAGCAATCTTGAGTCTGAATGACCACATAATACAAATTAAAAGCCCATCTATAAACAAATTGTATATAGTGTTGAAACTAATGGCATTTGAGGACAAGGAAGGAATAAAGTAGACTTTCCTTCTTGAGTACTGCTTGTTCCTATTTTTCTCTTGTTTCCTTTCTATTTGAAAATCAGAATAAACTGTTACTGTGTTCTAAGTAGCCAGCAATCTAATCACAGTATAAACAAAGTTATACCTATGCTTTATGGTTTCATTCTGTTTTTGTTTTCATTAACCCTTCCAGAATGATTATGATTTCACAGTGAATGCCTAAATGTATCATCATCAACAGCATAAGTTATTTCTAAATTACAACAACATATTTCTTTATTATATGTTTTATATATCCTGCTCTAATCTACTCATCATTTCAAATAGAAGCAAGTCTTATTTCATGAATCTCTGTTGCTTCCTGAGTAAAAAGTAGAACTTCACTAAAACTCTAAGTTTGCAATATATTGATGAAATAGTGCATACGGTGACCTCAGTGTTTTGTAGGTAGAGCCATAACCTTGAATACACCCTCACTTATTTATTCTGCTTCTCATACTTTTCTGCTTTTTTGCTCTATTGCTGGAGAAATGAAGTATTTCTAAGTACTATTAACCTATTTAAAAGTCAAGCTTTCTGTATGAAAATTATGTTGCATTTTTAAGTAAGTAAATTTAGTTCAATAAAAAAAAGCTGGGGGAAGAAAGTCAGTTGACTTTCAGTATATTGTTTAAGAACATATAGAAATGTAGCAAAGAAAAGTTTATACATTATGAAATGTTATTCCATAACATTTCTCAATATAATGCGATTTGTCCAAAGTGTCCAATTTATTTCTAATTATGTAATAGAGAATCAACTGTAATTTTATAGTAGTGAAATTGGCATAAAATGACTATAAAAATTGAAGATTTTCCTGTAATTAACACATAGATTAATAAAGTAACAGATTGCAATAAATAGGTATACACAACAATAAGAATTGTTTTGGTCTTTAGATCAAAGGAAAAACATTTTACTAGAAATAGTATGAGAATATATGCTATTTGAGAACCAGTTACTTTGAACACTTCCTTTCTTTCAGTCTTAGAAAAAGAAAAGAGAAAATCCCTTCCAAAAATGTTGGCAAAGAATACTGCATGGATGTGTCTATGTGATAAGTCAGGGTCATAGACACTTTATGCATATTGAGATTTGGCATATTTCAGTGTGCTAGATAGGGTCTAGGACAATTTGTCGCAGCTAACGCACTGCGGCCAATTCGCCATGGCCAACTTGCTGCAGCCAGCTCACCACAGTCAACTCACTATGGGACAATTCACGGTGGGACAAGAAGAAATGATGGAATAGAATCATTGAAAGGATGCAAAAGGAGAGACAAAATGAAATGTGAATGACAAAAATTTAAATAAATTTTTAACTATTTCAAATAATTAAATAAAATTGAATTGCTCAGCAGTGAGTTGTCTCATGGCAAGTGGCCATAGCAAGTTAGCCTCTAGCAAATTGGCCATGGCGAGTTCTCCCATTCTGCTCTGGATATATGCAAAAAAAAAAAAGTCCTGAAGCATTTATGTACTATATAAATGAATCCTGTAATAAATAAATACTGTAGGTTAAATAACCTATACATTAGTGCTTTGGGTACAAAACATTTCACTTAATTGCTGTATTTTGGGTGCTGTATCACAACCACACAAAATTCCATAGGAGATAGTTTTACAATCATTTTAACACAGACAAAAGTTATTTGCAAAAGGTAACTGAATCAGAAGTAGTAACAGTAGGTACAGTCATGTCTGGATAATCACATAACCTGAAATTTGAGGCCATGAAATTAGAACTTGAACAGTTCACACAAAGTCTAACTAGGTTGGTTTCTTCTATTTTAGGATCCCAGATCTGAAAAGGAATATTGAGTCTATGCCTCTACATATATGAAAGAATCCAGATTAAAACATCCCACACATGATTGTCTAGCATCCACCCGAATACTTCCAATGAAAAAAAGTGCCACCATCAAACTGCTCTTAATATTAGGAATATTCTCCCCTAATATTTTTATTGGAATCTATCTTTCAGTAATTTAAAATCTATTATTCCATGTCCTTTGCTTTGGGGTGAGAATGAAGCCTTGATAGTTTTCTATGTGACCTTTTTGCAGATATCTGAAGATGGCTATCCTATCCACCTTTAATAGTCTTTGCTCAAGGCTAACCATATCTAGCTGGGTCAATCACCTTTAGGCCATAATTTTTAAAGTCCTAATCATTTCATTGTCCTTTTCCAAATCTTCTTAGATTGTAATATCCAGAATGGACACGATACTCAAGGTAGATGTGGCCAAATCAGAATAAAATTGAGAAAATATTTCTTATATTTGGAAATTCATTCTTTATAATGCTGAATCAGTTTGCAATTAACTGCTATGACAATATCTTCATTGCAAGTACAATTGTCAAGACAGATAACATAAAACTTACAATCCATGCACTTGACTGTATCCCAAGTGAAAATCTTTCATTTGCTTCTATTAAAATTTCATTCTATTACTTTTAATCCATTTCTCCAACTGATCAAGATTGCTTTGAATTTTATTTTTTTATTCCACAGTATGAGCTAACTTTATTCAATTTTGTAACTTTTGAAAACTGAGAAGCATTCTCTCTACTTTTTTATCTGATCATTAATAAAAAATATTGAAATATTGGAAATCTGTCTTGGGAATTGATAATTGTGGACTTGAATAATAATTTGGTCCTTTTCCAGGTTGATGAAATATAATTGATGGGTGCTCTTTGACAATAAATTGTGAGCCAATTATATATTCACATAATTGTTACTATCTTCAGCCCACATTTAACTAACTTGCTTATCAGAATGTCATTGGATGCCTTCAGCTGCTAACACATAAAATACTTTTAACTAATTGAATTGAAACAGTAATGTGGTCTATATTTATTAAAGATAGTTTGTTCAAGTTTTAGTAACATGAAAAATGGTGTTTATTAGTGAGGATTCACCATGTCTTCTAACTAAAAGGATATAAAGCGGAATTCTTGACGTGTAAATGGAGTTTCTGATTTCTACGAATTCTCTCTGTAAGTGATTAAGTAGCTTTTTTAAAAAAAAATTATTGGTTTTTAAAATCAAATATTAACAAACAAAACATAAAAACATCAAGCTATCTTCCATAGGTGTACATACAATGTGCCGGTTGGTTTACAAATTGTTTTGTGCTTCCATTTCATAGTCTTCAATTACAATTACACTGCATATAATCTCATATTTTCAATCAAAAATTAAATACCTTAGTATCATTAATAATCAATCATTTGACTATACTTTTATTCATTCATGTTTTACAAGATAATCATAATTTACTTAGTTTATTTTATAACAGTTCATATTATCACCCCAAATCTATCCTAAAATCATTTTGTAGATATAATAAGAAAGAAATACATCTTTATATATTTATTATTTTCTAACAGTCTACATATTTCATTACTGTATTTTATTGTCTAACCATTGATAGAAAAGATCCCAAATTTTATAAAATTGTTTATCCTCTTGTTCTCTAATTTCAATGTCAATCTACTCATTTCAGCACATTCCAATATTTTCGTAATGCTTTCCTCCTGTGATGGTGTTTTCTCATTTTTCCAGTTTTTAGCAAATACAATCCTAGTCGCTGTTAATACATTTACAATCAGATATTTCAAGTCTTTACTATATATTTCAGGTAAAATTCCCAATAAAAATATCTCTGGTTTCAAGTCTATTTTTTTTTTGTCATTTTTTCCAACCACGTATGGATTTTAGTCCAGTATTTTTTAGCATCTGCACAAGTCCACCACATATGGTAATATAAGCCAGGTGTCTGATGACATTTCCAACATTTTTTGGATTTATTCTTGAACATTCTTGCTATTCTTGTCAGGGGAAAATGCCACCTGTAAAACATCTTATACAAATTTTCTTTATATGCTGTTGACATTGTCATTTTATAGTTTTGAGACCACAATTTTTGCCATTTCTCTAAATCGATTCCATACCCAAAATTCTTCCCCCAAGCAATCATAGTTTCTTTAACTTGTTCTTCTTCTAATTTAATTTCTAATAAATATCCATACAGTTTTTTAATCACCTTTTCATTAGTACCTGTCAAAATCTTATCTAAATCAGTCAATTTATCATAGAAACCTTCCATTTTAGAATCTTTATCATACCTTGAATGTATTTGCGCATATGAAAACCAATTCATCTTTATACCTTATTCCTCTAGTTTTTGTATAGATTTGAGTTCACTCTTTTCATTCAATATTTCACCATATCTAACTGTTTGTTCTTTTTTATATATTATAGGATAAGAAAATGCTTCAATAGTCGATAACCAGACTGGAATTTTCAAATAACATTGTCTTTTAATCTTCTCCCAGTTTAACCACAGAGACTCCCGTATATAATGTCTTCTAAAGTACCCCTGTGTTTTAGTTCCTTTATACCATAAAAAAGCATGCCACTCCAACAACAGGTCATGTCCTTCTAATGACAACAATCTAGTATTTCTTAATGTTATCCATTCCTTAACCCACATCAGATCTGCAGCTTGGTAATACAACTCCCAATTAGGCAAACCAAATCCTCCTCTAATTCTAGCATCTTGTAAAAGTTTTAACTTTATTCTCGCTTTCTTACCTTGCCATATATATTTCAACACAATTTTATTTAAATCTTCAAAGTAATCTTTTCCAAGCCTAATTGGAATTGTTTGAAACAAATATAAAATTCTGGGTAATATATTCATCTTGATTGGTGAAATTCTCCCTATTA